CAGCCGGAGGCATCTCCTCCCCCGACACACCGCATACACGGTATTCCACCACTACAAGACCGATGGGCCGCCCGGCAGCGCACGCAAGCCACTGTGCTCCTAATTAACTATTGAGTCCCATCATGTACTATAGCAGGATGGCTAGCCCCGCACGGCGCAGCCGACGCAGTGGAACGAACAGCGCGACTTACGGAACCATCTAGGGGTGTGGGGGTGCAAAAAAACAGTCCATAAGCTCCTCACCGAGCGAAGAACAACAAAGATATTACATAATCTGATATAATCAAAGAAGGACGTCAACGCCGCTCACGCCTGTTCTCTCCCTCAAACCCCACTCATCGTTGACCAAATCAGGCCCATGCTCTCGGTCGGTCGACTCAGGGCGTGCATCAAACGTGCTCGGCCACACGGGGCGATACCACCTCGCTACACTCTCTGCTCCAAGAACCCAAGCCTGCGAAAAAGAAACCCAAAGTTGTGATGACAAGTGTAAACCAGGAGAGGCGCGCTTACAACATTCCATACCCGGTCACCCATGTCGGGCGTGTCTTCCCTGTACAAGCACATCTCACAGCGCACCAAACTGCCGGGCTCGAGGACTTCTGAGGCGCTCAGAGGCCCCGAAAATGGAATGTCGAACTGTATTTCAGCCGGATCTGGACCGTCATGCCACGCGACGCGCTCCTAGCAATGGTAAGCTCCAGCGCAAGGCACACCTCCAATCGCCCCACAACACACCAGAGATGTGGACTTGTCCATGTACACCAATATGAAATCGTCGTCTCCTTTCATATCCCGCTGCACGCAAGAGTGAATCTGCATCGGAGTCTGGTTTGCGGTCCTCCATTTAGAAGATGATGGGGCTTGAACTGGCACTCACCCGGACGACGTCACGCCATTTTTGCTGAATGTCATCTAGAAAGATAACGGTCCGTTGGAAACTCGGGCGGAACGCCCCCGGCGGCGCGGTGAGGAGCAACACCTGACACTTGTGACTCAGATACTCCTCAGATTAAAAAAATGACCCGCACCTGGTACGTTGGCCCAGCCTCATAGACAGCCTCGATTTGGCCGAAGACTGAAAGGAGGAAGGCGCCGCCGCCGGGTGCCGCGTGGATAGTACGTCGAAGCTCTACACCACCCTCGTTCGGAAACAAAACCTCGTCCAACTTGAGTTTGTTGCTCTCTGCAAACACAAGGGGAAGGTGTTCGTTGAAAAAAGTCGCCAATTGAATAGTGTACGATACTGGCATGATGGCAACTTAAGCGGCGGGGCGGTTGCGACTCGGGTCTATGAGGGGGAGCTTCGGCAGTGGAAGAAAGATCGTTTGATAGTGGTATGGTCCATTCTACGAAAAGCTTTATAGCGACGTGTCAACTCACCCACTCACACACGAGTCTCGCAGCCGAAATCATAAACCGGTCCAAGAATCGGATCTCCAGCTCTAGTCCCGCGTCGTGAGATACTCATAGAGGGCGAGTACATTGACATGATTTGAAACAAACTACTTAGGCACCGCCAGCGTGCATCTCTTCTTCGCAGGGCAGAGAACAAAACAATCGGCGGACAACTCTAGCATGCAAACTCCAGTTCTACGTGCGTGTGGGATCTTTGTTAACTGTCAACTCCAAGCTGAAAGCAGCTCGACGCACCGTTTCCCAGGCCAATCCGCCACAGACAGGGGTATCTTCTCGAACCACGAATGTTTCGATGTGAACCAACGCTCCTTCTTGGAGAACTTCACAATTGAGCGGCGCAAATGGTATATGCTCCGCGCGATTGAAATCAAGTTTAGTCTAGCTCTGTCAGCCACAAGTCCCTGGACCGCGCAGATCTAATCACTCACAAACGGAGTACTTTCGTCAAAGTCCGCGAATATATAACCTGGAGTGGACCGGGACGATGGCACGTAACAATAATGGGTACACTTGGATAGCTTCCTGGTGTCAAACACTTGCCCCAATCGGACCAAAGACCACGGCCTCTTACATAGACAAAGGAATCCATCGACTCGATCACGCTCTCTAGTGTCTCCAGGGTCCTGAAGAATGACTCCGCGAACAACCCTTCCGGGCGTGCCGAGGGTAATGACCTGTAATGAGGTAAAAGTTACTCCATCATACACCCCAGAAAAGGACGCACACGTTGAGTGTCTTGAACGCCACACGGGTCGATAGACACGTTGCGTACGATACCCACAAAGCTCAGCACGAACGGCTCTGTGACGGGCGCGTTGATATCCACTAAGTATCGAACCTCCTTGCCATCTATGTGAGAGACTGTTTCGTCGTCGAGCACCAACACAGGAGTAGAGCCTCCGAACGGGGGCAAGGGGATTCCGTAAGTCAAAAAAGGCTCCATGGAAGAATTGCATCCATCAACACCAAGCGTCCGCTTTATGCGATTCACCTGTGCAGTATCTCCGACGACATCAAGAAAAGGCATGAAACTAGTCACTGGAACGGAGAAGATCAACCGCACAGCGAAGGCAGGATGTCATTGTAATGCTGCTTACGTACATGCAGATCCAAGTCTACTTAAATTTCATTGGACAAGTCCTTCTGAATGCAATCAACTTCGACGAAGACGTCACAGAGACCACTGAGCCAGCGATGAATACGAGGTGACCACGTAAGGACGAGCTTCTTCGGCCCCATGATCCACTGAGAACTCTGACACTGGCAGGCCGTGAGGAACCACCAAAGTCGTCGAAGTTGATCCTAAATCAATCTCAGAGTCCAGGGGAACCTCAGGAGTTGATGGCGCGACGGTCGAAGATGGCGATGCAGACGCATTCCGCTCGCGAATGTCGCGTATCAACGTCGCCGAAATTGGTCGCTTATACTGCTGCAACACATCAACAAGCTCGGACTCGCCAAAATCTGGCGGCTCGACGGAAAACCACTGCGTTGCCTGTGACGTGATGTCAGATCGCACAGCCCGTTGCAAAGTGGCGTACCTGGGGGTGAGCGTCCCCTTGCGTCGGCAATGCGGGGTCCGTGTCTAGGAGGCAGTCGACTAGAAAGCGAAAGCACGGGCTGCCATCGGGATTCATTGCACAAGCAGGGCGACCGCGTAACAGAGCTTCCGCTACCCGACGGGCCTCGTCCGTCGAATGATTAGGATAACGCACATCGGGGTGTCGGGAAAGCTACAAATCTTTCAGGTATCATCAGCTTGACTTGAGAATAACTCGCCAGCTTCACTGCTGGAGCGGCCCCCAGCACTCTGTCGACGACACCTTGGCGTGCGCCAGCAATAGGATAATGGTAAGTTATGACAGCACAAGGGTCATCCTCAAACGCCTCGGTGCAGTGCAACCAATATCGAACGGCCCAGGCTATGCACTGTTTAGCATTCTTATCATTGCGCACAGCGTAGCGTACCACATTTCCTGCGCTCAAATTGGCGACGTAGCCGCTGAGGAATAACTGGGGAAGAGTATCGCCAAAGCATACCCCATTGTCCGTAAGGCGCGTTGCCTCGCGGGTGGATAACGAGGTTTTTTGCGCACCGTTTGTACAACATCGGTGTAGTCCTCTGTGAAAACTTGAAGACAACCAAGTCGTACTCGGTGAGGGGAGAGAACGGCGAAACCGCCCTTGAGAGGGTCAAACATAGCCTCCACCCTTCCCTCTGTCGAAGAAACGACGATGATAGACTGGCTGCCGGCTTTGCCTTGTGCGCTGACCGACACAGTGAGGTCAACCGTTACACAGGGTAATCGCAACGAGCGATATGACTGAGGGAGAGGGAGGAAGCCATGCACGTTGGGCCGCTCGAAGTGCCAAAGCCACAGTGGGGGGATACAGACGTCCTCACGGGCAACAAAGCATCCCAATATTTTGCGTACTGTGTGAAGCGTGAGTAGCCCCTACGATATATCGCAACTAGGGCTTACACCACGGAGCTCGAGCGATGATTCGTAGGCGCTCAACATACTCACGGACGTCACCAGAGTCTCTGAGCTCGTTGAGGCGAGAGTAGATGTAATTACACAGAAAAGCAGGCCTAGAAGGGCGAACAAAATCCAAGGTGGGGGGGGGAGAACGTAGACTTTCGCTGTAAGCAGCGATGCCTTCATGCCATCAGTAAGTAGTAGCCATATTGTCGACGGCGAACTCACCTTGGATAACAACCATAGTGCTGGGCAACGTTTACATACTCAGCTTGACGGAAGGCAAGGCTACGCACGATAACATGGTCCAGTCTGTGCTTCCTGGGGCGCAATCTGCGATAATATGGAGTTGGGGTACCCCAGCTTTGCGAAGGTCATCGATCTGTACGACTCGAAGGTGAAGAAAAACAAAGCTCGATTATCGCACTAACCTGTGTGGCAGAAAGGAAAAAAAAATCCGACCCCTCTGTCGCACCACTCGTACCAGATAAGAGGATTGTAGGGCTCATGAAGGAATGAGTCAACACAGAGAGGCACTGAAAGCCGAATATGTGGCGGTAACGGTGGTCACTCTGTGACAGCACCAGGCGTAACGCCAGCTTTACCCACGGTAACAAAGACCATCGGTGGGGGGCGGCACAACTGCTAGCAGCAAAAGAGACGTTTCTGGGACCCCGCACCCTCCGCCAACTTACTGCCGCAGAAAACGTTGCAACTGAGGGCCCAAAGCGCGAGAAGCAGTTAGAGTATGACGCAGAGCAATCAGGATCGTTTGAAAGCGCCGCGAGCTTGGTGCCTCAGTACCGCCAGAGATAAAAAAAGTTCGTGAGAGTTGCCTATCAAGACTGCCACGTGCTTTATGCGCCGGGTCACGCAGGTTACTATCATGATATGCATCAAATTTCCATCAAAGTAGATTCAGAAGAGTAAAGCAAGGTCACAGGCTTCGGCGCCAGCGCCGAAGGCCCCTAGTAACTAGATGCGGCAAGAAAAACCCGCGGCCTAAAAAGACAATAGAAACAAAAACTATGGATGCCAAGTTATTCCAGTCCAGTGCAATCCGAAATAAATAATATCTTGGTAGCACGACTACTTATGTGCCTACACATGCATCTGCGCAAACTGCCCATTCAGCCCCGGACTTCCTGGTGTCCGCTTCGGAAGGACCCAAGAGGGTGTACCACCTGCGGCGCTTTCTGCGACAGGACTAGACTGCTGGTGGCTAGACCCAGACGCGCTGGCGGAGCCCGGATCGGTGAGCGTGTATCCTTGCCGCGGAGCAGTATATGCCTGTTGTTGTTGCGACTGCTGTTGAGGACCCAAAGCATACGCGAGCTCACTTTGCGGCTGAGTATACGTTGCGGACTGGGGCAAGTTGGCATATGGGTCTGGTAAATAGTCGTCGTCATCCAACGGACTTGTCGGTGTGGTTTGTTCGTGGACCGGCTGTTGTTGGTATTGTTGCACGGGCTGTTGTTGCTGGACTTGTTGTGCCGGTTGCTGCTGCTGTTGGATTTGCTGTACCGGTTGCTGCTGCTGCTGGATTTGTTGTTGTTGCTGCTGCTGCTGCTGCTGCTGCTGACCAACTGGTGGAGACGCTGCTCCCGCCGCAGCTCCATCTGTAACCCCGGGAACGCTAACAAAATACACGCTCCCCGCCAAGTCCTTTCCACCAGCAGCATAATACTGCATCCACGCCTGTACATTCGGGTCTGCGTATGTTGCGGTTGGGTCAAATATGTAGGGTGGGCCGGTTGGTGCTTGCTGCTGCTGTTGTTGTGGTTGGGGCTGAGGCTCTGGTTGAGCCTGAGTTTGGGGTTGAGCTTGAACCTGCGGCTGAGCCTGAATAGGTTGTGGCTCGGGCTGAGTTTGTGCCGGAACGACTTGTTGAACTGGTTGAGCTTGGGCTGTTTGAGCCTGAACGAGCTGTGGCTGCGTCTGAACAGGTGAAGTCTGAGCTTGAACAGGTTGGGGCTGGGCCTGGATCGGCTGGGCCTGAGGTTGAGGCTGAGGCTGAATTTGGACCGGCTGTGCTTGGGTTTGTTGGGTTTGCTGTTGAGCAGGATACCCAGTAGCAGCCGGCTGCCCACCATATGCTTGTGGTTGTTGTTGTTGGCCAGGATATGGCAATGGCTGGGCCGGAGGCTGGTTCTGGACAGGGTAAGGCGAAGTTGGCTGTCCCGCTCCCGGATAAGGCGAAGGTCCTTGTTGAGGTTGTTGAGGTTGCTGGTTCGGATATGGTTGCGCGCCATATGCCTGCTGCGGCTGAGGAGTCGCTTGTTGTGGCTGCTGAGGAGGATAGGGTTGCGGTCCTTGTGGCCCGTAAGCTGCTTGAGCCTGTTGCGGCTGCGGTTGGCCAGCATAATACCCTCCGGCTGCCGGAGCTGCATTGGGATAGTATGGCTGGCCACCATAGCCGGGTTGCGGTTGCGGGTATCCTGAATGCCTCGCAAGACTCTCCTCCATCATACGATCGAAAATAGTCCGAGCACGAACAAAAGTTTCGTTCATAGAAACCAAGTCGGCTTTAACGCTATCAGATCAAACTCCTCTTCATATTATTCTAGGACGAACCTCGTTTCTGACTGTATTTATCGATAAGCTTGACAATTTTTGGTCGCAACGCCATACACGAGCGATAAAGTTCCTGCTAGCTGATTAATTCCAACTGACAGTAAAAGAGTAGTTGCCGCACCTGAATCTCTTCATCGTCTGCCAAATTGTCGCCTTTCGCTGGATCCAACGCTCTGAGCATGTTAAGCAACCGCTCTACATTCATCGCTTGAGCAAAAACAGCTGCTTCTTGGGTTGCTTCTGTGGCCAGCTCCTCCGCTGTTGGTTCGGGGAGTGGTTCCTGGTAGCGAGTCTGAGTAAATCAATAATGCGCAAACGAAATAGTCTGACCACATAATTGACGGGGAAAATTCCAGTCCGACCTTTGAGCTGTCCTCGCCACCAATCACGGTAACCACGATCTACAACCTTGATAACGTCGCCTTTTTCAAACCCGAGCTCGCCGGGTTCGGTTGGTGTGAATGTGTGTAAGGCGCGGACACGTGTGACAATGCCACCCTCTGTGAAAGAAATTTGGCTGGGGTCTATACCAAATTAATGAGTTCCCCCACGGATTAAAAGATATGATGTACTTGGTGAGAGTTCGGCTGCGGGGACAGGGCTTGGGGTACGATTACGTGTGGCCGGGACGTAACCACCCGTGCTTGTGTAAGCATTGCTGCTACTTGTAGCTGCGGGGACACTGGAAGATGCGGCGGCACTTGATGAGCCAGCTCCACTTGATGAACCAGCGTTGGCGGTGTATGAATAAGCCTGGCGCCCTCCTCGATCATGCATGCTCATTTCTAAAACTCGCTGTAGCTCTTCTTCTTCCCGTCTACGAGCAGCATCGTCGACTTCAGGAGGAGGGTTCTCGTCTGGTGGTGTGTATCGATAGTCTAGAATTATGATGCTGTCAGCGCTGTTATTCTCGACGGGAAGACGACACACTTTTGGCCTTTAAACTGTCGTAGCACTCCTGCATAATCCCTAGAGTGCTGTCGTTGGCGAAATCCTCGGTCCACATAGCCACAAGCCCCAGCGCACGGGTCCGTGCTTTTTCGTGTGTTGTCTGTGCCGCAGTCAAACGGATCGGGAGGGTTTCAGATAGCCGCTTACTCTGTCTGTGATGAGCCTTTCGAGTCCTGAAGTCCATGCTCTGCTGGCAATCTCCCTGTGTAATTCGATGGAGCAGTTTTTCGAAAGTGCCTCCGCCAGCGACAACGAGTACAGTTGGACGTTCGGGTTTCGGTGAGCCAGTCGCTTGAGGAGCGCTGCGATAACGTCATGGGCACCCGCTGGCCCTTCGTCAGTAACTTTGTCGCAAAGGTTAAGGATGATCTCCCAGTTTTCGGTCGTTAGGTTTTCGTCAGTCGCTGTCGCTGTTTTGCGAGTTGAGAAGGGACCGTAGAACGATGGCATCGGAGCACATACCAACAATCTCGTCGTATGCATTGGCCGCGCCGCCGCCAAACATGGTGTTGTTTATACGGACAACAGGAAGAGAAGGTTCTGGAGCGGAGGCTTGCGGGAAAGCTGTGACACTATGAGTCACTGTGTCACATCTAATCCGCCATCCATCTCAGCCGACTTTCACGTTCTTCCCGCCATGGCCAAAGGTATAGTAGTGCTCTTCACAGTGTTGGAGATGTCACAAAAGTATTTCTCAGTCCCGCGCAACTTTCGTCTGCTAGAGGAGCTGGAGAAGGGCGAGAAGGGTATTGGCGACGGCTCTTGCTCATATGGTCTCGAAGATTCAGACGACATTATGATGACCAACTGGAACGGTACTATCATCGGACCAGGCCATGTACGTCCTGGTTGCTTGTCTTTTACTCATCTAAATAACTTTATCACACAGACAGTGCACGAAAACCGCATATATTCTCTCAAGATTACTTGTGGTGACAACTACCCCGACGCGCCACCGACCATTCAGGTAGATAAAACACTTTCCCTTCGCACCTCAATTGACTTCTGCTCTAGTTCATCTCGCGCGTCAATGTCCCATTTGTCTCCCAGACAGACGGCACGGTTGATCGCGCAAAGCTGCCGGTCCTGGCGCAATGGACGCGTGCAAGTAGCCTCGAACACGTTCTTGTTGAGATGAGGAAGTGCGTTTTGCTTATATACTGTATCAGCTCTCGCTAACCAACCTTGTTAGGGAGATGGCCTCTGCTACGAATCGAAAGCTCCCCCAGCCTCCTGAAGGCAGCATGTTTTGAGTACGATCCCCACGACACAACCCTGTATTCACCCACACACATATATCGTTTTCCTTTCCCTAGTCGAGGTGTAATAAGTACCATCTAGTACGTGTAGAAGTGCTGTAGGAATCAAGAGAAGTCACGCTTTACGGGCCAACAAATCCCGCTTCCTTGTAACTATCATGACCAACTCAGTATCCATTCTCACTTTACCTGTCGAGCTCGTTCAGACACTTGCACGATGCCTGACCCCTCTCGAGCAACGCAACCTGCGATTAACCTGTCGCTTCCTCTGTGTTGCACTCCACCCGATATTCTTCGCCATCCTTTCCATCAACCTCCGACGGGAGCCCCTCGAGCAATCTCTTTCCCAATTAGAGGACCTTGCCAACAGGAAGACCCCTTACTCCGAATTCACTCGAACCCTCAAGATTGAACACATCTTACCGGACTTCATAACAACTGCTCCGCCTCCACTGCCTGAACCAGTGGAACGAGCGAAGCTGGTACTAGAGAAAGCGCTGTCTTCGGCTCTTACAGGACTTCGGGATATTTATAGCGTCTACTGGACTACAACCAGTGGCGACCCATCCTGGACATTTACCGCCATTATCGATGCCCTGCTCGGATTCCGGTCAACGCTTTCAAACCTCCACCTCACTCTCAACCACCGTGGCTGAATCGATACCGCGGGCTTCGAACGGCTAGCAGCGCTCCATTTAAAACAAATAGTGATTACCGACCTCGAATGGATGCGCTCGACCGAGGACCGTACCAGTGCGCTCAAACCTCTCGCGCTGTTGTTGCAAAACCTGGATAATCTTACATCCTTGGGTTTAGCTCTGACGCCCGAGATCGACACTACTCCGATATTCGCCGTACTTCGCACTCCCCTCCGCGAGATCTCGGTCACTTCCGTGTCGAGCGCTCTTCTCGATTACCTTGCACAGCATCCGGGTGTCCTCCAGCGTCTGGAGATTTCCGGACTCACAAATGACACTCAGGATTTAGCTGCTGTCTTTTTCCAGCAGGTGTTGCCCCTCCATGCGCCGTCTCTCACCTATTTCCGTTGCACGCCTCCGGATGAGGGAGCTTGGAGTTTTTCTCCGATCACCGCCAATGCCATCTCCCAGCTCACCCAGCTCAAAACTCTACATGTCTCCGTAAACTCGACCACGTTCGACAAAGACCTGGTATGTCCTAGTTTGATTCGCAACGCCTGCTCATTGGTTTATGTTACAGCCTCTTCTTCTCCAGACCATATCGCTCTTTCCTGTGCTCAGAAAGATGCTTATCGAAGTGGCTTTAGTCGACATTTTTGGCGGGGAGAGTGGTTGCGGCCATGGCTGGATTGGATACATGATCGGCATCGCACAAAAAATGCGACAACTCATTCTGGCTTTCCGGACCGACGACTATTCCTCTGTTGAGCTACGCAATCCGTGGTATTGCGAGTGGTATCGGCTCGTCAGAGACATTGAGCCTAAAGAAGCCAGTACAGGATGGCAGTTCCAAGAATTCGAGCACCCCGACCCAGAGTGTCGGCGACTGAAGGAACAACACGCGGATGACAGCGACAACTGGTAGCCATATTATGTCATAATCACGGTCATGTGCAGAAAATTCATTTGGTTTTGACGCGTTTATAATTCCTGACAGTGCTTCAATCCAACTCTGGTGCCTCAATCTCGCTTTCCCATCGTTTATTCTCCTCAAACATGGTCCCTTTGATCATAAGCTCTAACAGCTGTGTCTGTACATCTGGCATGGACGACGCGTTATTTTCGCAGCGGTTGTTTTGCCAGTCGAGGTGCTCGGCTGGGAACTGGGAGCCATTGGCAAATATGTTGGGGCGAAAGACAAAGTTGCGCGTTAGCTTGTCTTTTCCGTGCATGAAGACCGCCTCGATAAAAGTGTAGCTGCGCGGATTGCGCCGAACACTGAGCGACTCGTTACGAAAAGCGTTCTTCAAAAAAGACTACGCTCACATGTTAATCATTTCTTCGTTTTGGGCGGCCACATTCGCGGGATCAAGTGCATCCTTGTCCACGGGCGGGAAGGTATACGTCTTGATATTCTTCAAGTAACACGTCCCGGCGGGATACTTTGGATTCGTATAGTCGATTCCAATGACATGATTCTCCACCGGTTCATTTGGTTTCGTTCGCTGAGCCAATTTCTTGAGATGGTGGAAATGGATGTGCGACTCTGTGCTGACAGTCTCCCGCAAAAACCGCGCATCTTGTTCAGTGAATAGGGTGCGGAAGCCGACTTGATTTCGGGTTGCATGGGCGTCTTTCTTGAGACGGCACATCGGCTTGTGGTTCTTCCAGGCCGCCTTCTGGCACGCTTTTGAGCAGTAATAGACATACAAGCAGCCGGAGCAACGCAGCAGCTCCTTCCTTCGACCCGTCTTCCCGCACTAATAAGTAAGGAAACCACTGCGTCAGTTTTTTGACAAGTTTGGAATGGAGTTGACCTCACCGCCGGGTTGTCGCAACCTATCCGTCTAACACCTTTGATCTCCTTCGGCAACTTGGCTATCTGAGACCGGTTCAAGAGCAGTAAAATCCATGTGTACCACTCCCGTGTGAGATAGCTCTGTCCAATCGTCAGGTCGACTAGATCAGGATCGATATCTCGATGCTCTCGCTTCATAATCTTGATAACTGACAAGAACATCATGCTTTGAGGAAGAATAGTCCCGAGTATAGCGCGTAGATCGTTTCGCAGACTCGCTGCGACATCAGGTTTGTCGAGCTCTACACTGAGGATGCAGATAGAGTGCAAGAGACCGGCGTCAATTGATTGCGAAACGAGCTTAGGAGGCTCTAGTTCGACCAATCCGGCGCGAAGGAATATTAGCGCAGAGCCCACACAAGTGAGGAGACTCAGGCGGCTGTCAGAGACGTTTGCCGACTGGAGAGCCTCTGCTGCCATGTCTAGAGCCCTAGTCACAACCCAGATCGCATTGTGGTCCAAAAGGACGAAAAAAGTGAGCGAATGCTGTGGATGGGCGACCAGGCCGACAAGAATGAGCAAGAAGACGCCGACCACATCCGCCGGAAATGGTGTGGTGTTAATAACGCGTCTCAGTCGCTCGACAATGATTTTGGCAACGGTATCATGGTCCGACCCAACACTGGCGACGATCTCATCCAAATCGTCCCATGAAAACTTCGCCAAGAAGGACAGCGGGATGAATGCCTGCAAAGGCGCTGCCGCATGCAGGCAAAGTCTTGAGCAGAGAGTAATGATTCCGTCTGTTGCTCGAATTTTCGCATGGAGCTCTCCGTCAGAGAGAAGGTGCCGAATGGCCAGGCTGATCCTTGTAATGGCGGACGCCGCTTCAATCATAGTTTTCTGACCCGATCCGACACGTTGTGTGTATAGATAGTTGCACCATTTGAACACTCCCACCCACGCAGTGGACAATTGTGTTCGTAGGGCAGGGCACGTCCGAAAGTCGTCCGACCATCGATAATGCAAAGCCCCTATCGCCGCCCAAGCACGGTCGCTGGGGTCATTGCCCGAGCCCGTTGGGGGCTTGTTCTGCTTGGGCACTTTCTTGCCGTCCAGATGGTAGAGAAAAACACGTAACACAGTGTCAAGAGAGATTTTCTCGCGGTTTGTCTGCCAATTCTCGACAACGTACGTGATTTCTGGCGCGGTGAGCGTTTCGTAGCTCGAGATAGTCTGCCAATCGGTATTTTAGCGGAACCTCGATGCAGAGCAGCTGGTACCTTGGCCGGGTCGTCCCGCATGGCGTCCACGAACGAAGCGCTTGCGCGGGCCACCATCGGAATCAGGAGAGAAATTTTGATCCCACCACCGAATCCGGACAGAAAAGGGCAAATCAGTTGTCTATTTTTGCACCGATCTTCGGGATCTTCGCCGCAGTCTTCAAGTTGGTCTCAACTGCAGCAGCCGCGCTCAACTCTGGCCTCGAATTTGACAGTGGCCCGCTCGGAGCTAGTGCCCAGGACGACGTCAACCATGAAGCGCTTCAATACCATCGATATCGACAACTCTGCGCTGGGATGCCAAACACGAACCTCGGTCGGGTAACACTGAGCCAAGGCAGAAAGTTGTTGTGTTGCTTTCGCCTATCCAGCTGCTCGACGACGGTCACGACGCATCGCTAAAGTCTGACCATCCTGCTTAATCAACAATGTGAAGTTGAACAAGCTGCTGCAGTCATCTCTGCACGGGAACGCGCATTCTGAACTTTAGTAAGTACCACACAGACATTCTCTCTCAGCCAAAGACTTTCACTCACGTGCCCGCCGTTAGCAGCTATCGCACTCATAATCGTCTACCAGTCCGCCGAGGCTGTGCGGACAGCCGCCACTTTGCTGACGACGCACTGCCTGCAACGACGGTTCCAGTACAATCCCGCGACCTCCGCAGCCGCGTTGGCGATGCGCAAGGCCCAGGATTCGTGGCCCGGCAACGCACACAAAATGACAAATCACTGGGATCGACAGCATAACTTGGTAACGTCGTGCTTTCTACGCAGCTGGTCAGCATCGTGGTAATAGCTGTCATCCATGTACTGAGCTCGCTAACCTCTTCAACAGGATATATAGAGCGGGCCCGTCGTACCTGTCGGGCGAACCTCCCAGCAGTCAATGGAACGCGCGCGCTCAAAGCGACCAGTGAATTATATCCAAAAAGCATGTGGCAGTTGCAGGCGAGTTGGCGTTCGTGACCACTGTTATATAAAATGCTAATGCATATTATAGACGCCGCAAAATTGTGAGCTGCATACCTTGTTTTAAAGCTTATCATGGTTACTTAGGATCGTTTAGAAATGCGACGGTGTGCGACCAGCGTGTGGGCCTTGCACAAGACACAATAACAACTCCCGCCGACGCTCTGCTGGACAGGAATGGTGTGAATACGCCTACGAAGAGAGTGTCGAACCCAGAAGTCGCGAATCTTTCGACTCTGATTTAGCATCTCCGACTTCGGTAAATTTCGATAGCAGCCCACAGCCTGCACACAGACAAACACGTCCAGTAGTACCCGCTAGCACTTCGGTAGGCTCAACATCTCAAACTTTGAGAGATATTTTCCTGACTCGGATGCTTATAGATCCAGAACAACTCCAGCCAGGACCTATTGCCGCTGAATCTCGCCTGGTACGTTTTTTTTTCCTTCCCTGCGTCGAACTAGGATTACATGTCTTACGCGTTCCCAACAGCATCCAAGTCTTTCTCCGTCGATTTTCTTCTTCTCCGTACTGGTTTATTGAGACAAACCATTTCCGCCAATTGCACCATCCGCCCACGCCGCCTCGTGCCAACTCCCTTTTGGCTTCCATTTACTTATGGGCAGCCACGATCGAGCCCAACTCGGAGTTTTGTACCGGGAACGAACTTGCGGTAGCGGAGCATTACCTTGAAGCGGATCTTTCCCTCGCCTCGGCGGCTGACAGGGACTCGAATTCTACGCTGGACATCATCCAGTCTTTCGTTATGATGTCTGTCTACTTCCTCCATTATGGGAACTACGAAGAGGGGCGACGACTCTGCATTCGCGCCATCGAATTTGCTCATGCCCACCAAATATTGCAGAACGCTGGGCCGGAGATTCGTCGATGTCGGCAGACCGTCTCGTTCCTCTCGAATGCGTGGGATGTCCTCGGAGGCCTTCCGGGTCTGCTGGACCTGCCAGAACTACAGCCGCCTGTACGTGTTGTTCCACCCTTGGTTTCGTCTATGTACAAGTGTTGACGGTGTTCTTAGAGCGATTCTACCATAGGCATGACGGACATCACGGGGGGCCACGCGCTCAACTTCCTCATCGACGCCTGTCAGCTGCTCAAGCAGAGCACCGATGCGGCGACGCGCCAGCCAATATCCACTCAGCACCTCCACCGTCTTGTCCTCGAAGTAACCGCCTTCAAAACGCGGCTTATCTACCTCCGTCGGATGGACGAGTCGCTGCGCTCGTCATTCTCCAGCTCGCTCCTTCTCGCGGGCTGTCTCGCCAACATCGCGTTGCTCGGCCTATACTGGCGCATATCCACAGTCGCCCCCGCGAACTCAGACGAGCGCCTGCTTGTCGCGATGACCCAGGCCATTGCAGATGTGGAGCGCTCCGATGAACATCGGCTCGACCCGCTCATCGGGGTGCGTCGGTCTTCTACCTTGTCCCATTCACTAACCTCAATTGCTGCAGCCTCTGATTTCCGCCGTCTCCAATTTCTACATCGCGCATCTGCTGTCGACAGCGTCACACACGCACTCGCAGGCCATCCTCCTGCGGCTGCTGTCTCTCGTGTCGCGGCTCGCACCCGTGTTCCCCTCAATCAGTAAGCATTTCCCAGGAGTATCGAGCTGTCAACTGACTCGCTGTAGATCCTTGTTTGGATGTGTGTTTGCAGGCGTATATGGTCACTGAGCTGTAAATCAACCATTTCTCTCTTATGTATCTACATTCTGTATTACTACCGTACATATGTGTCCTGTATACTTAATATCAACGAAGACTAATCCAGGTATCAGAAAAGTTGTATCCGACTCAGTACTGGACAAGCCACAGTCTTCCCCGGCGGAATACTAGCACAATCCCATAAATTGTGTCTACTCTGACCACCCGCCCGCCCTCCGGAACCTCGTCTGGAACCGCAACGCCAGTTGTGTCGGGCGACGATTTAGGATACCGGACAACGTCAACTGGCTCGTTGGTGGTCCCGACCGACACCTAATCAGTACATCAGGAATGGCCTGATGCAAAGATGAAGTTACTTACCAGAGAACCCGGAACGCTCGCAGGGAGGTCAAAGGCATGGACAGTGTCGGAGGATGAAACGAATATGCGGCTGGCTTGGACGGAAACCATATCAGCATCGACATCGGGCAGCGTATGGCCCATCCGGGTCACGCGCGCCGCGTCCAGCCCCGCCGCACAGTCGAAGACGAACACAAAAAGATATCTAGCCAAATTGGTCAGCAGTGCTTATGTCAGCTCGATATACGCACGTATCGAAAACATGCTCTTTCGTGTACCCGCTCTTGACCACCGCAAGAACCACGCGTTGGCCGTTGTCTACGCTGTCCCATGCGACCGCCCTGTTTGCCGCGGCCACGCTTTGCGGTGGGAAAGAAGTTGTGCGCGGCCATGTCTTCAGGGTCACAAGCTTCCAGGTGTGGCTTCCTTCTAGGTCGTGGATTGCGAGATGTTGCAGATCACCAATGATCAGTGTTCGACCGCCAGGCAGTATACTCAGGATAGGCGGCGGCTGCGGGCCGATAAAGGAGGGCTGAGCAAAACGAAGGGGGGCCCAGAATGCATATGCCGTCAATTGGTAGAGCTTTTGGGCCTCGTGAATGCGAAGGGCGTGAATTGGCGCGTCTGCGCTACAGCGCCACTTATGGGCAATAGCCACGGAACGCGCGGCGCTCCGGAGCAGGAGGGAGGTGTCGGCAGTGTGGACAGTTTCGCCTGGCGGAAGCTGGAGCTTGTACGCGTCACTAGCGGTAAGCCAGAGTGCGCGGTAGTTGGTGCAAAAAGCACGAAGGTGGCTGGATGTCTGGAGTTATATCACTAAGCAGGAGCAACAGAAAGACAGTGCAACGCACCCGCGAAAGTTGGAGGAGCTCCGCAATATCCTGACCACAAAAGGTCTCTAGGGCGACCTCGACGGGGAGACGGAGCAGCATCGATGGCGGGCCAATAAGAGCGCGTCCTGTCGTTTGTAGCAATCATGCCTTCCAATTCGAGCTGGGCGTTAGCTTCGCTGCTCGGACCGATGCTTCCCTTCCCTGCGGTCGTTGCGCTCTTCGTCGTGCCTTCCGCGGCCCAGGTCTGTCCATGAAGGCGAAGGTATCGCCGCTTCGCAGACAACGCGGTCGGCCTCGTTGGCCATCGAAGCAGAAAGAGAAGTTGGTTGGCCCCTTTGATGGCAAAGCATTCCAAGCTTGTGAGACGCTACGTCGGATCCACCTCTGCTCCGCCAGCCAGGCCAGCCAGCCAGCCAGCCAACTTCATGGAAGTGGTGTAAAAACACGTCCTTCTCGACACATATCAATGAAATTCGCCTTCTTTTGAGCGTTACTTGGACGCACCACGCCCCTGATCCCAGCTTTGAGATCATATCATCATCGTGGGCTCTGACAAGAGAATTCTTCCTGACTGTATTACATTTCAGCGCAAACAGGACTCGGAAATTGTGAGAAGGAAAGAGCTCGTGGCTGAGGACGTAAACGCTGGTCTTCAGAAGGACCGCCCACCAACTAACTAGTCACGGTACTAGTGCTATCTTATAAGGATATCGATAACACTTTAGCTTCAAGTTGAAAGCACAAACAATTGAATTCTCCTGCTCATCACACAGTGTAGTGGCGGCACTGGCGGCACAAATCGACCCCAGCTCTACATCCATCTCGTCCTCTTTGACATCCAAGTTTGCCCTTGTCATCCGAGTCCTACACGATACCATTCTAGGAAGACCCGCCCGGCTTATTCTCATCGCGGGCGGCCTTCCCCTCGTTGACTGCCTGCAAATAGTGCATTTCATGTGCAACCACCGGTCCAATCTGGAGAGTATCTTGCGTCTCGTCGCAAACGCCGAAAGTTAGCCGTGGAGTTTGAAATTTGAGGCGCGAGCGTGTTTGACGGTAGTTGTTTCAAGAGGCTAGGTGGTATTTCCGCCCGCCTTCAATTTACATACCTTGACATTTTGCGTTTTGAGTCCAGTCCGGAGTTGATGTTCCGATGGCAGTGTCGAAGGCCGCGCTCGAGGGGGAACAGGCACTGATTCAGGTATTGGGAAGGGCGGACTCGGACTGAGCATACTTATGTTGCGGAGATAGGACGTGCAGCCGTTTTCTGCTCAGGACAGGTCTCTTGGAATCATCATCCCTTTGTCGCTATGTCCCGCGGGGTGTCGAGCGTTGCCTTTTTCCTTCGGTGATGGAGCAATTTGTTTCGGTTTTGCAGCTGATCCACGATTCGTGACCGCTTTCTATCCTTGACAGAGTTGAAGTGAGGATGGGGGTCCTGAGGTGGGCAAGTACACTTGGAGCGGTTGGAGCAGACCTTGGAGAGAAGTGTGACCCCAGATGGAAGCGGAACCAGCAGAATTCACAAGTAGACCCAGAGTTCAGTAATGAGAACGTACTTAGCCCCGAGCGCGCTCTGCTTCGCCAGCATTGCGATCAACCACATTATTCTCTCCTTCCCCATCCGCCTATCGGATGATGACTCTCCCTGGCCGCCCAATCCAGAGGTGACAGTCATGAGCACCAGCATAAGCGCCCGAGGCGACCTCCGAGGCCATCAGCTGCAGATCCACATGTCAGAAATTGGCTCGAAAGCCTGAGAACGCCGAGCGACCACTGCTCCAACTGACTCCAAGGCTATCAGCTGCAGTGATTTTGGGACAGATTGTCGTTGAACAGCGTACTGCAGTAAACACCAATAAGTCTACGCATGTGTAAGTCCTTAGTCGATAAATTGTAATCGGGGCAACGGGGCTGACCGAGGATGAGTCACTCTTCGAACTGTGGGCGTATCCGAATTGCCGATGGTCGAGGTTTATCCGGTCGTAGCCGCTTACCCAATGCGGCCTGATCCTTGCATACGCAAGGAGCACGGGTTAAAGTTGTCGCGAGGGTGCCGGGAGGATTGTGGGTCGATCTGAGAGAGATGGCTTTCGTGGGCCTTGCTCTGTTCATGGAGAAGAGTCGCGGAGAACTTGAACAAATGCACTACGAACGGAGGCTGAAAGTAAGAAACTGAATTCGCAAGCGTGACAAGTCACAATGATTCTGGCCTTGACAGAAACCCGCCATGTCAGCTTCGGCCCTTGGGTATTTCCAGACCCGGTTGTGGCCGTTTCACTGAAATTTCCTCTTACCAACGACGTCCGCTGTCGGCCCAATGCGCTTCAATATTGTGCAGGCCTACTTAAGGCCGCCCTATTCGAAAAACATGGGCAGACATGGCCGCGCCCACATCCACCCTCACCCCCCGCTCCTCCTTTACACTTCTTGACCGCTCCACCGCCGTTTCTCCTGATCTCCAACGGGAAATTGACGATGACGAAGAAGACATCCACCGTTTCGGCGGCGACGACCCCCATGAACCCCCGGTCAAGTCGCCTGTGCTAGCTCCGCAACTGCCTCGACCGCGCGACCCTGAAGAAATTGCTTGGGATGGACCCAATGATCCCGACAACCCGCAGAACTGGACGGACGGACGCAAGTGGTTTATCACATTTGTTGTCGTAGTCATGACGGTCAATGTGTATGTTTTCCTTTTTGTCGCGCTATCCAACCTTTCTCATCTCTGCCACAGAACATTCGCGTCATCAGCACCAAGCTCTGCGACGTTTGCCATTAAAAAGGCCTTTGACATCACTTCAGAGGTGTCGTATCTTCTAACGTCAACGTTCTTGCTTGGATATGTCTTTGGGGTGAGTTTCTGCGTCCTCCAATGTTGAATTTCATTAATTTATGTATAGCCGCTTATATGGGGGCCCGGTAGCGAACTCGTCGGCAGGAGGCCAATCTTTTTGGTCGCCATGTCCGCCTATACGGTGCTCCACCTTGGCCAAGCACTCGCCCCAAACATCGAAACCTTGCTTATAACACGATTCCTTGGCGGCTTCTTCGCCGTCGCTCCGCTCGTCAACTCTGGTGGTGTCATGGCTGATATCTGGAGTACGGAAAATCGAGGACTCGCAACAAGCCTGTTTTCTGCCAGCGTGTTCCTGGGCCCTGTTATGGGTCCTATCGTTGCTGGCTATATCGTGGAAAGCTCTCTGAGCTGGCGATGGGTGTTCTGGGTTATGATGATCTTTGCTGGAACATGTACAACCATCGTGGCCATTGGGTTACCGGAGACTTATGCCCCAGTGTTGTTACAGAGAAAGGTATGTTATATTTCCCTCTTGGTGCCTGCTCTCTAATATAACTCTCAGATGGAGGCCCGCCGCAAATCTGATCCAGATGGATCTGCTCATATGTATGCCGCCCACGAAAAACAAGATTGGACTCCCCGCGGCGTGATCCATCGGACGCTTTTCCGACCCTTCCAAATGCTCGCGGGCGAACCAATCCTTGTACTCGTAACCATCTACCTTTCGCTTGTCTACGGGGTCATGTATTGTTGTATGCCTATTCACTTTTCTTATATGCCTCAAGCTGATGTCTCTTCACAGTATTTCAAGCGTTTCCCATTATCTTCATCCAGAAGCGCGGTTTCACCATCGCTCAGGATGGGCTGGTCTTCATCGGTATCGGGCTGGGGACTTCACTTGGCGCAGCCCTCAACGTTCTCTTCTCGCGACACTACCCCTCTCTCATAAAAACATGGCGGGGTTTTCCCCCACCAGAAGAGCGCCTATGGGGTGCGATGCTTGGTGGATGCTCTTTCGTTGTCGGTATCTTTTGGCTTGGGTGGACGGGGCACTATCCCAACGTGCCCTGGTATGTCCCCGCTATTAGCACAATCCTTGTCGGCATGAGCATAAGTCTCATCTTCATTTCCTTCCTCTCATATCTTGTCGAGACCTACCTGTGCGCACCTTTCATTTTTTTCTTCATCAAATGATACTGATCTCAATGTAGAATGTACTCCGCCTCGGCTTTCGCCGCCAACACCTTCTGCCGCTCCCTCGTCGCCGCCGCCTTCCCGCTATTCACCGTCCAGATGTTCACGAAACTCGGGGTCAATTACGCTGCGACTCTTCTGGGCGGCGTTGGCCTCCTTCTGGCACCGTCGCCATTCCTGTTCTACCGGTACGGCGCCAGGATCCGCGCGAGCAGCAAATTTGCGCCGTGTGTCGATTTGAAGATCAAGAAGATGTTGGAGGAGGAGGAGAACGAGAAGAGCGGGGAGAAGGCTGTATGACAGGGGCAGTTTCGGGATAACAGCCTCGGTTTACGACCATCGTGACGAACGGGCCAAGCATTTCACGCCGCAGGATAATCGCATTGCATACTTTACGACACAAGGACTCAAAACGAATAGAACACAATGTATCAACTAGCACCACGTAGAATAACGTTAAACGATATTATGTAATTTCCCTATACTGATACTGTATGTGAAAGTCATTCGAGCCAAAAATCTGCATGCATGGAAGTGTTTTATCTACTCCCACTATTGGAAGGAATAAGTACTGAAATGGCCATTCCATATGATTGATTCCATATGATTGATTCCAGTAAAGAAAGGCCAAAACCGATTCCGTACCATAGATATTCGAATTCCATGCGAAAAGTTCGAATGTATCAATAAGTATAATATTCAGCGCGAATTGGGTGGGATTGGACATGATCATGAATCAGCAATTGCAACTAGTTTACTTCGATTACAGACGCGATATGTACATACTCTGAATAAAGATATCGACAACACTTGAACACGAAATGCAGAGTCCGTCAATCCCATTCAATCCTCCTCACTCATCGCACACTGCAACGGCGGCACAACCGACCCCAGCGACACCCCCTTCCTCACCGCATCCGTGATCTTCCTGCTCAGCTCCAAATCGATGCCTTCTTCCTCTTTTACTGTGGTCTTCTCGTGGCTATCGTACACAACACCGTTCCAAAGAGGACCGACTTGCTGATTCTCATTCTCATTCTGGCGGACCAGGGCGGTCTTTCCGTCGTTGATTGCCTGCCAATAGTGCATCTTCATGCGCAACACACGTTCCCGATCTTCGAGTTTCTTGCGCTTGGCTGCAAACGCAGGAGACGCGCGAGTGCCTCGCGGGCTGACAAGAAGTCGGTCGTGGTGTTTAAGGCGATCGGCCAGACGAGCATGTTCCGCGGTTATCGAGGCAAGTACAATGTGGGGGGCGGGCAATGGAGGCAATGGTTGGGGAAGCTTGGAGGGGTCTACACCCTCTTTGACTTTGCCTTTCGCGCTAGGAGACGATCCGCGTATGATCTCGACTACTTTGAGCTCTTTCCCACCAGGAAGATAAATAACGGATGGGGTTGAGTCTGGGGTACATGTTAATTGAGGTTTGGATGGCGTCTCAGGAAGCTTGCTGGTCGAAGCCACCGCATTGGTGTCTAGAGGAAGCAGCGGACCACGCTTTCCAGTCAAAGTCTTTGTTGGATCATACCGCTCTCTAGCAGGAACAGGCGGTTCTGTCGGCGCAAAAGGTGAAGCGAGGATATGATGGGGCGGAGATAGTACGCGGACCCGTTTTCTAGTCGGAGTAGGTGTTCTGGAATCGTTATCCCTTTGTCGCCTTTTCCCCAGAGCAATGACCCCGGGTGTCGACATTCGTGCCTGTCCCTCTCCCCAGGGCGTCGGAGACGATCCAGAAACACGTTTCACAGCACTACCAGGCGACCCACTTGCCAATGGTGACGAATCGACTTCCAGCGGCATATCGATTCCCGCCGAAGGCCCAAATATGTAATTGGCGGTTCTACCACGCTCATCGGCCGCATCATCATCAGACGACTCGTCATCGCTTTCGATGCCTCTAACATGGTTGAAATGAGGATGGTGAGCAGGGTTTTGTGGTGGTGCGAACACGCTCGGAGCAGCAGATGCAGAAGGCGCCTTGTTATTCAGCTTGAGCCAGTCGCTAATAACAAGCATGCGTTTTTGGAGTGCGTTATCCTCGGCATATTTGCGAGCGGCGATTTCAGCGGTATTGCCCCCAACGATGTTTTGCAGAGCAGCATCTTCCGTCTTGTCCCCGCCATCGATCACAAGCTTCGGAGCACCAAAAATTTGCGCCGCAGCCGTAGCTTCCTCAGAACCCAAAGCAAGGTCTTGCGCGGTAGGATAAGAAGCAAGTAACGGGGCAAACCTGCGAAGTATTGCGGCCCCGTCAAGTTTACACAGGCCAGGAACCAGCGAGTTGGGCACGATACGCTTGGGTCGGAAAAGTTTGACGAACGACTCCAGTTCCGGAAGAGGCGAATGGCGCGATAGAGGTACGAGCAGGGTTTTCACTGGCTGGTTCATGCGCAGGGCAACCCGTGTCTCGCGGAGATAGGCTTCCCATCGCTCAGTGCTCATCGTAACTGGGTTGACATAGACGATGTTGTTGCCATTGCTGCTTCTGCCCTCCACTTCGTCGTTGAAAAATCCACCATTTTCAGTTGGCTTTGCTTGGGCGACAAATGAACAGCGGTCAAATCGCTCGCAGGCGTGAAAGCGGGATGCAGCGGGGTCACAAACGCCAATCTGTCGCAAAACAGGGTCTGTAAGCCTGGTGTAGATGCCGTATTTGTAGCGGTCGAGGTGAATGGGAGAGCGAAAAGCATTAGAAACAGCTTTCAGGATGTCTTCATAGCCCCATGTCCAAGAATTAATGAAGAAGTATGTGTCCTCTGGTAGCAGTTTCATGAGCTCGATCAACCCACTCGTCGCTTGCTCCTATTTGTATTGTAAGGACGAGACTGCTATTTAAAAAAATAGAGAGCGCACCTTGGTCGGTACTGGGGCGCTATTGAAAACACACTCCGTGTCAAGGTGGATGGCTTCAAGCGTCATCTGGCCTGCTGAGCCATCCTTGGACGCAAGATATGGTTGAAGATACTGGTTGTGTGTGATATTTTCGACGAACCAAGGCTCCGCGCGAAAGTCGCCTGTATGCAGAATTGCGCCATATTTGCCCTCGACGAGAAACCTGGGTTACGTCAAGGGAAGTCTGATGTAGCATGCTTTTATTCGTACATAACTGCTCCAGGACAGTGGTTGGCGTCAAAGAGGGTGACGGTGACAGTATCGTGGTTGGTGAGCTCAATCTTGGTGGGGGTGTTAAGTGGCAATGTTTTCTATGATTCATTAACCACCAAAACAGCTGGTCCAGCAGAAAGAAACGCACCAGAAGATCTCTGGATCCTTGGTAGTACATTGTTCCATCAGGATGTATGAGTGGGTCAACCTTGAGGTGCGAATAGGTTTTAGTTGGTTCCGCCCGATACTCTTGTTCTAACAGCGAGCGTTCCTTGTAAACCTCATGGCGCAGCAGCATTTCCTTCGCATCAACAGAGCAGACAATCGTCGAGCCGAACGATTTTGATTGCAAGCCGACGATATGGTCTGAATGCGTATGTGTGAGGAGGTAAAGAAGCGGCACGACTTGAATGTCCGGGTTAATGGTGAATTCATCGACTCGGATGTGGTATGGTTTTATAAACGAGTGGAATGGCGCGCCTGGTGGCATTTCGAGATACAGCGCGTTGGGAGTCGCATTCAACAAGATGGAGGATGAGTCGATGTGGTGCACGTGAGCTTGCTTGTCACTGTGACTATTACCTAACTTTCCCGACTGGTTTTGCTCTGCTCTAATACCTGCACTACTTCAACTCGAGCTCGGCCAAGTTCTACTTCTGAACCTTCCGAGGATCCGAGTCAACTCCAATCCGCTGTGATTCATGCCGGTCTTGCCCGCCTTGTTACTTTTGACCTTCTGCTTACCGCAAATGACCTTTCATCCACCTGTTTTTCTTCATTCCTCACGCGAATTTCTATGCCACACTTACAAACGGTCATACTCAACTCTTGCTGCTGCAAATTCTGTATCCGAGCCCGAAAGCCTGCGTGTTCCGCTATCCGATACTCCAGCACTGTCCAAACCTGGAACTCAAGTTGTCTTCAAGTCAGCGGCCGAGCATGTTGCAAAATTCTAGTCATTTCATCTCTTCATAATACTATATTCGACGCTTTTCGGGGCTTGCCAAGTACAAACCGCAAGCGAGACAAACCAATCACGTTGAAGCTCAATTAAGCTAGATGCTGATCTCGACTATTCACAGGCTCAGCCTGAGGCTCCACCTTCGATGTACCTTAATACGATAACGAAAAGCCCTTTTCGCCTTACCACTTTGACTCAGGCCGTCGAGCGTGGAGAGTTCCAAGGGTTGCGCCATGAAATCCCCACGACCAACGCCCTGCATTTTTGACCATCAATACTGCAGTAAACTTAATCACCTCGTCTGGTATCTATCTGTGGCTGCTCGAAGTCGAGTGTCAGCGACTTTCATTTATTGCTAAATCTGGACGACGATTTCATTAGAATGTTCAACTGAAACTGTTAGTGTCCTAGTCGTGAAGCGTCACGGTCGGTCGAGTCAATCTCTCCCGAATAGAAGCTGAATTACCCGCAGCAACTCGTTAGCCTGTCCCTCGTCAGCTGAAACTTTGTGATTGATTCTTCTCCGCGGACACTGGTTGCTTGAAAATCCACACTCAATGTCATGGTGGAGTCCTGTAAGCACCTGCAATTTATCGCAATGCCGTGAAAGCGAACTTAGCTGCAAATCAGATCGATAGCGCCGCTGTACGACTCGAATGATATATGAATCCTCACAGCAAGAATCGGCAAGATACTTACAGGCACTGGATGGGAAACGGCAATAATTCGACTTTCCGTACTCTTAACACCGAAGCAATCGAGAATAGCTTGGCTTGGAAGCTCGCGCGTGAGCGGTTTCATCGTACTATGCGGTATGCTTGTACCAATACCACGCCCGTCAGCTCTCGTTCCCCGGACTTAAATGCTGCACATGACAAGCAGAGTGCGGGTCGCTCCCGCTGTCCTTTCTCTCTCCCTCTTTTATTTTTACAGGCGATCCTGCTAAGAGGTGGGTAAAGTTTATTGGCCCTCGAAGCAGCCTGTTGACTGCCTCAGTTATAGAGGTCATCAGAAACTTTGGTTCTGCCGCGAAGAAGAGGCAAGCATAGTTTGGCTGTAGAGCTATCCGGGTCGACAACTCTCTTGCTCGTGATCGCGCGACTGGTCCAATATGCCGCTTCCTCCTGTGCGTGTCTTGTCGATGACGACCCATTGCAACACGAACGCAAATTCAGATGCAAACAGCCCTTGCGAATCGGGGCACCTCCTCCGAGCCATCAGTCTCATTGACGCATACTATGGTCATTGTTATCAGCACAACAACCAGCGCATTCGTCTGCGCTCTCTTGGTTTTTGTTTCCATTTTCGTGCTTTTCAGAAGACGTCAAATGCGAGGGGAGAACATAGAGATGATGGAGAACAGAATGGTGTCGAGAAACAAGGCTGGCAATGTCAAAGGGCTGGAGATTAATGCCGATCCCACTCGAACAACAGAAGAAACGGCAACCGAAACAGACTTGGAATTGAAGCTTGAAGACGATAGATTGTCCGGTTCAGAAGTGCAACAACTTGGATCAGTGGACTATCGTATAGCACGGCCTGCGAATGTCTTGGTCCTGTCGACAAACACTCCTCAATCAACAACAGCATTTCTTTTCCCTTCGAGCAACTCGAACCATGGACGCGATGAATCTTGGCCGCCACCGAGAGAGGAGAGTATCTTCGTCGACCCGCTGCTTGAGACACATAGAGAGGACTTTCCAAAAATGGCGACAGATATTATGGAAGTACTTCCCCCGATGGAATTGGAGCCAGCGACATCCAGAGCGATCACTTTGGCAGACCCGGGGCTGATGAGAACGTACCGCCGACCACGTTCTGCGAGTAGCTGCGACTCGTTTGGTAACCCTTCACCTACATTGCGATCAACCACGTCGACACCAACATTTCCTCCAAATTCCGCATCCGCCGCATCGGAAGATGATTCTCCATGGCCCCCCACACCTGCACACGAGCAGCAGACGATTTCTGTTGTGCAGCCGAAGAGTCGCAGTCATGATCATTGGCCCAAGCGCCCGCGGCGAGCTCCGAGGCCATCAACTGGAGATGGCCAACGACAGGTCAGAAACTGGCTTGAAAGGACGCCGAGACGGCCGGATACGGCCCCAGGAAACGTAGATGGAACCTGGGCAGCACCGACAGCAGGCGCGCTTTTGAGCTATCAGTGATCTTCAGACAACATTCACTCGTTGATGTATGGTAGTACTAGTAATTCGTAAGTTTGCGTATGTGTAAGTCAATACATAAATTGTAATCGCAGCATTAGTGTCTTGGGGTTGATCGAGGACCCCGACCCGCCTTCTCACTGTTCAGTGTCCGAAAGGACGCCGAGACGGCCGGATACGGCCCCAGGAAACGTAGATGGAACCTGGGCAGCACCGACAGCAGGCGCGCTTTTGAGCTATCAGTGATCTTCAGACAACATTCACTCGTTGATGTATGGTAGTACTAGTAATTCGTAAGTTTGCGTATGTGTAAGTCAATACATAAATTGTAATCGCAGCATTAGTGTCTTGGGGTTGATCGAGGACCCCGACCCGCCTTCTCACTGTTCAGTGTCCGAAACTCGGGTCAATTACGCTGCGACTCTTTAGGGTGTGCCCTCCTTTTAGCACCGTCGCCATTCTTGTTCTCTTGATATGGTGGAAGGGCCCGCGCGAGGGGCAAATTCGAGGTGTTTGCCGATCTAGAGATCAATAAAATAATGAAATGTTGGAGGAGGAATAGGAAGAGAAGAGCGGGGAGAACACTGCATCACGAAGGCCTGGGTAGTTTCATTGGGATCACAAGTTCACTCTCGAATGCTCCGTTCCTACCAGTACAGGTGAGAGTGAAATAAGATGGACTGAGCCTTCTACCTACTCTTCCCCTAGCCAGTAATCATCCCCGCCCTCAAGTTCATCATCTGCTTCTAAACCCTCTCCCGAGTTTCCCTGGTCATCATATGACTCTGCGCGCGAGGAAGGCGGCGTCAGGAGCCATTCTTCATCCTTGTCTCCGAACATTTCAGGGCTCGCTGCACCAAAGTCGTGGTGTATGCCATCCATTAGCTGGTCCAAGATTTCCATCTCCCATTCCTTCTTCCCTTCGCTCGGATTCAAACGCGCACGGTCAAAATCGACTATGAACGCCTCTCCAGTGGAGTTGATCATGAGGTTCTCGGCCCGGATGTCATAACTCCAGCGCGATGTATACTCTGAAGGATCTCTGTAAATCGATTCCTAAATAGGACTTGGATGAGACAAAGGCTGAATAAGCAGATAATTTCGATACCGCTGGGCTGGAGTAACAGATGTCCGTGTTTCTGCTTTGTCAGGACGTAAATTCCATAGATCCTGTCCACAGTCGTTCAGGACAAGTGCGATGGCTCCTCCTTCGAGATCCTCGAATAGTCCATAGATGCGGGGAACACCAGTAACACCGTGTTCTGCTAGATGTTTGTAGATGAGATATTCATGTCGCATTCGTCGTTGAGCCTTCTTTCTGAATGCTAATTTGACAACGAGATTTTCCTCCGTCACTATCTGCCCGGTTTTAGTTGTCAGACGAGCCGTCGCTCCGTGAACGGTACCGGTTGCACCTCGGCCGATCTGGTTTGTCAAAACAACCTCGAAACATTCATGAAGTTGATAACAGCGCTTGATTGGTGGGAAATATTCTGCTTCATGCTTCGTTTTATGAACAAGGCAAGGGGTCGCTCGAAATAAGGAGGCGGGCGCCGAGGAATGATAAATACCATACTTCAGATGCAGTAGCATCATGTCGCGCTGGCTCGCAAGTAGCATCGGAGGCTGATATATGCATCAACCCAATATAATTGAACGCTAGCTTGACTCACCTCCGTTGAGATTTTCTTCAAGCTTTTCTTCAAGCGTTTGGTAGGTGGTGACGATGGGGCAATATCCTCTGTGCCAGGACGTTTCCGGCTGCTTCGGCGAGGCTCAGCGTGCTCGCCCGCAGCTTTAGCGCGCGCAATGGCGTCGTAGACTTGCGCAAGGTATAAGCCCACATGGAGCTTGATATACCCCGGGCTTTCGCACCGTGTGATGTCGTACAGTTCCGAAATGTAAAGCGTCTGAGTTTCTCGATGGCGGACGGCGATTCGCTCATGATTGCCGCAGTTGAATACTATCATGGTCGAGTCCGTCTCTACCGCTTTAGCCCATGCCTGACTTGCAATGAGCTTCTACCAACTAAAGAGAAACGAAACACGTACAAGTTGGATGAGCGAGTCTGAAGTGAGAGGTGTTGCGATATGTGCAGTTTACTTCCGGGAATTATTGATGGCACGTGTTTTTCGCGGGTCTTTTTAGACGCAGCAACTGTCGTAGCTCGGAGCGTTCTTGCCAGAAAACCGCTTGATCCTGAACATCACAGAACGGGCCATCAAACGCCATCAAACGCCATAGAGAACACGGCATCAAGGGGTGACTGATCACTGTGTGACGGATGACTCACACACCAGTATGTGATGGCTTACACCAGTCACACTTCCTTGATATGCCAGTTTATCAATATAACCCAGCAGGATTTGGAAT